TTGCGCCCGCGGCTTTGCTCGCGTTGAAGCCCATTAAAAACTATGTATATTTTTTAAAGAAATATAGTTTCAATCCTTTACAACACTTTGTTCCAATTAAAAAATTGCCTATGTACTATCTCAGGCTCTAGACTATCTGTGTTCCAAATTTCATTTAAATCGGTTCAGTAGTATTAGCCTGAAAGCGAGACAGACAGACAGAGTTACTTTCGCATTTATAATATTAGTATGGATTGATGGATTTGCGTCCATTCGAACTAAGAATAAAAAAAAATATTTCACACGTTCTTACCGCCATCGTTATTTATCATGTCAATACGTTTATCGTTGTTAAGCGTATTGACATGATTTTTAGGATTCCGTACCCAAAGGGTAAAACGGGATCTTATTACTTCGCTGTCTATCTGTCTGTCTGACTGTCCGTCAGTCACCAGGCTGTATCTCATGAACCGTGATAGTTAGACAGTTCAAATTTTCGCAGACGATGTATTTCGGCTGTCGCTATAAAAACAAGTAATAAACAGAAACACAACTAAAAAAACAGAATAAAAAAAAATTAAGTGGTGCTCCCGTACTACATGATTTTTGACGTTATAATATACAATGGTACGGAACCCTTGGTGCGCTTGTCCGACTCGCACTTGGCCGGTTTTTCATCAGTGATATTACATTGATTGTATAGGATTTTTATTCCGGATATGCATAAAGTTCCAGTACAATAGATCTGCAGAATAGTCCTATAATTAACATCAATACGACTCAAGTTGTCTGCTTATATTGTAAGCTTGATAATTAATATTTAAACTACCAAGGAGCAGACTAAAGGTAGTGATGAAAGTGAGAAACAAACAAATTTAATTCCCATTATCGAATTGGAATCACTGCGCTGCTTATGCATTCATGGAGTCGTGTCTACTCGTGTTTTTCTATTAAAGCCCGTCGGTCCGAACACAGAATTAAATCAACACCGAGTGTTGTTCGGTAGTATTTATTCAATGTTATTGCTGTTCTCTCTAACATGAGTAAAGACATGTAAAGTATTCAATTAAGTAAGAAATAAATACAGTGTAACGCTTTTCAAATATTTCCATTTCATTATTTGGTCAAAGCAGTTGAGGCCTAATAATTTAATGGCTAATAAACATACGCAGAAGAAATCTATATAATTAACACATAAAATAAACAATGATAATCTAGTATCGAGCAGACAATATTTTTTTTATGTGAAAAGTTGCCAAACGAGCATATGGTTCACCTGATGTTAAATGAATACCACCGCCCATGGACATCTGCTACACTCGAGGGTTACAGATGCGTTGACAACCTTTTCAAAATTGGGCTTCGGCTACCTCACTCACCAGACGAAACGCGAAAGTATTTGTCATACTTCCACTTTACGCTGATCTTATGCGAGGTCGTGGTACTTACCCGGACGGGCCTGCCCAATCGTGCAACAGCCGAGGCTGCTGCGTGGCCCTACCACCGCAAAAACAATTATATTAATATTTTTTTAGTTATGTAATTAAACCGATTCTCTGGTAGCTCCCACATGTAAAAGTTTTAAATGACAAGTATAATGAAGATATTCTGATCTTTAAAAGCCTAAGGCATGAGAGTGTGATCGAGAATATGTGATGTGTAATATTATAATATGTATTTATTTATAAAAGTAAAGTATGTTTAAGTAGCGTTGCTTAGTTTGGGACAAGAGAACGTTGTGTAAAAATAGTGTCCGGATATATTTATTATTAATAACAGTATTGTATTATTCGATGACTCCGTGGCGCAGTTGCCAAGGTATCGGCTTCGGCGTCGGGGGTCGTGGGTTCGATTCCCACACGGGACAACTATTTGTGTGACCCACAGATAGTTGTTTCGCATCTGGGTGTTTGCCCGCGTGAAATTTTAGTTTGTAAAATGTTCTTACAACACAGGATAATATTCTCCTAAAGTAAGGGCAATGTTTTATAAAAAAAAAGAATTATATTACTTTTGTTACTTTAAATTTCGTACTTTCTTACTACCATGCTAATTTAATTTGATCTTGAAATGTTTGCGCATCGTTAACTTAACTCGTAACAATGATTCAAAAATACTCCTAAAAAGTTAATAAAAATAAAACAACGCAGATTATAAAACACATTTATTTGTATCGTTTACCGAAATACACATAGTATTTCGTATAACTATTATTACAATAAAGCATAAGTTCAATACATACTCGTATTTATTTATATATAACTACATTACAACTATATGTTTAGTATAAGTGATAAAATTATGTATATATTTGCTGGTTCTCATAAACGAAATAGTCGTGGCTGTAGATTGGACATTTTCATGTATATCGCACATATCGAGTTTTAAGAAACATTATGTAATATTTCGGACATAAATGACATTGGGTTTTGATGGAAGATATGAAATAAAACATATTTTATTTAAGAGTCACACAGAGTCACGTAGATGACAGATTGAAAAAGAACATTTTATAACACGTTTTATTCACTTAATTAAAGTGACATAATGTCTTTACGAAGTATCCGTAAACTTTATTTATATACTTGCAACTTTAATTTAATTAACCAATAAGATAAACTAAAACGTAAATAACAATATTATTTTCATCTATCAACAATCAAACTAATATAAGAGTAGGTCGGGGAATAAATTTATTATTAGTCTATAAATCATTCAAATCATATTTTCCTTCTTTTCCGCTGAACGTGTGAAAAAGCTTATGAAATCTTTTTTACTCATTTCTTTTTGGAATCGAACAAGTTGGCATTTGCAGATGTTATCTAAACACGCAATGGCACGTCAGTTTAAGGAAAATACAAAAATCAAATTAAATATCTGATACAACAAAATAATATAAGTAAATCATATAAGTAATGTAAAAAAATATTAATATAATTGTACGTAGGCAGCGATCAATCTTAAATATTTTGGGTCGGAAATTGCGTTTATTAATCATAGTATTGGACTTCCAATATGTTAATAATATAGTTCTCAATATTCTAATGTAAATAAAAGAGAACATGAAATTATAATCCATCATTATAAACTGTTATACAAAGTTACTATCCCATAACTTGGGCACTACACTAATTTTAAATAGTAAATGTTTAATACATCTAGTAAATATAAGATAGTGAAATAGATATTTGACGATAAACTGTAGTATAAATATTGGTTGATTTCCTTAGTGATTATAATTATTATAGTGTAAAATATATAAGAGAGAAATTTGTTTCCTCTTAAGCTACGTAGCTATGCTATATCGTATGGTCTACGAGAATATCTATGATCCCAAATCCCAGTTGCATAGTACACATTTGTACCTAAGTAACACTAATAGACACTACATCATGCATTTTTATAATATTTTTACAAATATTCCTTTATTCATAATTATGTTTTATAATTTATCATTCAATTCTATTCGCATTGCGGTAATAAATATACACAGACCTTAAAACAATTAAAGCAGCACCATATGAAAGAATAAACTCCCAGCGAACATTGGTTTTATATTTTACCAAATAGATAAAGTGTAATAAAAATATATTTAAAAAAGCTTTTGTGCAAAATTGGTCTATTCCAGGGACGTCTTACGCAAGGACGCATACATACGTGACTGATAAACAACTCTCCAAAGATAATATTAATCAGTATCCATAGTTATTGATATACCATAAAAGAATCAATAACTCGAGTTATAAAAATGGAATCCTTTTATAGTATCTAAATATAAGTCGACTTGAGGAGCCCAAAAGACGTAAAGCAAATGACTAGAATTAAAATCTAAATGGAGAAAGACAATCATAGACTTACATATATATATTTTATTTGCCGGTAAAAAGTACTAAAGTTTACCATATTTACAGTATAAGATTGAAGTCCCCGTTTGAAATTCACTTGTTCTATATTTAAAGATGATAAAGGGAAGGTCGTGAATTGAAATATAATTGATTTGTTTTAAATAAAGGATCAAGTATGACCATGAAAGGGTTGTTGAAAGTGTCCGCCACACAATAGACACTGAGGTCTCACGGCTACAATGCATCTCTATTCTTGTTCTACTGTTGAGGTGACCAAATATTTACACCAATAGTTTGCCTTAAAGAGACACTATTATTATTATTACTACTACAATATTTTATTAAAACCTTAATCTCGATAAGTCCTAAAATGTGTGGTTTAATACAAATGTACACATCTCGATTGCATTTTTTAAATTTATCTCAATATCCCTTTAGGGATCTATCTCTTCAGGATTATCTCCGTGTATGGCGCTGACAAGATTTTCGAACTGCATCTAAAAGCACACCAAAGTAAAAGCACTACTTGAGAAAGAACTTACAAAAATATCTAGTACACCACAAATTTCTCATTAAAGCCTGTTCCATGCAGTTTTATGTGGTAGATTTCCACTTGACTCCTAATACAATTGTTTTAGAACTACTAATATCAAATTATATATTTAAAGTTAAAGTTTGTTTTCATATTTAAATAGATTTCCAAATACTCGTATTTTTTAAACGATTATCCAAAAGAATGCCAGTTTCAAAAAAAAATATTTATTAATATAGTAATGTATATAATATTATAATATACGTTCTAGATATGTATAACTTTTTCTGATAAAGATTTATATTAGATAATTATATTCACTTCATCTAAAATCATCAATCTAAACAATATTCGTTGTCTTACAGTAGAATATTCTAAACATTATTCACCTATTAACATCTAATGCGGATATGATATCAATTTCAAAGTCCAACACGGTCGAAGCATGAGCATGGAGCTACACCGGAAAGCACGAATAGTTTACGAATTCCAACACCAGCTACTTGCGATTGTCCCACGAAGTGACCATTAATGACCATCACTCGCAGAAGACATCGCAGACGTCAGAAGTAGTATATCTTGTCTGAGGCCTCGAAGTGTACGTGCTTCTTCCGGTGCGGTGGCAGCACTATCAGGAACCATCATGGAGTTTTCGTCGCCTCCCGCCTGCCCTTGAGGGGGCTGTGGCCCTCTTCCTCGGGCTCCTTTATCTCGGGTATCCTCTTCGGCCTCGAGTCCTCGCGGTCCGCTTGCGTGAGCACCTCCTGCACGTGGACCGTCAGCTCGGGCCGGACGACCTGGGTGAAGGGCAGCAGAGCGCCGGCGACGTCCATGGTGTTGTTTATGTTCCTGTGCCACAGCTCCAGCACGACGCTGCGCCGCTGCTACTTGTACCGCGGCGGGCCCAGCCAACCGCAGCCGAATACCTGACGTGCCGACGGGAGATTTAACACGATAATATTCAAATACTCCACCCGAGTACTAAGGCTCCCTTTAACTTTCCCTTAACTTTAACTTTCCTTTAACTTTCCCTCTAACTTTATTAAATTGTGGTAAGGCTACGCAACAGCTGTTACAAGAATTGGCTTTAACCGCGGGTTCTGGCTAACCCGAGCGTTCCGGCTAGCCCAACGGTTCTGCGTCCAATGAAGCTTTACACATCAGTTATACAAAAAAACAGAACATCAGTTGTACAGAAAAGCCAAATTGGCAGGTCCGGCCGGATAAGTACCACGACCTCACAGAAAACCGACGTGAATTAGGTTGAAGTTTGCTGATATTAAGCAGATATTGAGCAAATGAATAAACTTCTGTCAAGTCCAATATCAAATCATATCTATTCATCATCATTTGATGTGATAACTCGGTGGCACCGTTCCTAAGCTTGCTAAGTCTACGGCGTCGGGGGTAATGGGTTCGATTCCCACACGGGACACGTATTTGTGTAACCCACAAATAATTGTTCCGAATTTGGATGTATTTTCCCACACAGGGTTGACGTCGGGTAGGCAGGAAACATAGTCAAAACCACTTACAACATGATACACATGTTGTGCCGACCCCGCCTAGGCAGGGTCAGCACAACTGTGCAGGAGAATGGTGATGATCTATTCATCATCATTTCCCTCATATTTCCTTGCACTGACCGTAATTTGTTTGAATTGAACACTGATTATTCAATAAAGGAAGGAGTCTTCAAAGTAGCAGAAGATACGGGGTAGCTTTACCAAAACATCTCAAACTTACCTGGCAAACTACAAGGGCCAACAGAAATAGAAAAATCAGCGCTAGAACACCCCACACGATGCCCAGTTGTGCGATCGCGAACACGTAGAGAGTCCTGTGACACCACTGGTTAGGTTCGAAGAGAGTTGGCGCATAATCCGGCCACAGAATGCCCAGCGTCCAATAGTTGCCAAACGCGAACCTACACGGTGAATTAACAGGTTTACGTATTACATTATTACCATCGTGTTTTGGTTGTCGACTGCTGGATGAAGGTTTATCCTATGAACATCTTAATTTCTATCTTCATATAACTTCTATTTCTGGTAGGGCCACGCAGCAGCCTCGAATAGCTCTGGCGAACTACCGCGGTCCCACAGAAGACATGCGTGAAGTGGAAACATTACTCTTTCGCGTTTCGTCTGTGAGTGAGGTAACTAGGGTCCACTTTTTAATGTTGGAAACGCTAGGTGTAGGTTTTGATGGGCGCGGTAATCATTTAAAATCAAGTGAACTTCAACCGCCTGCTCCACTGCCAACTTCTAATAAACACTTGCCGACTTTTAAACTTACACAACTTTTTCGCTTTCAGTCTGTAGACTATTAAAGCTTCATCGAAAGCAAAGCTGCACCTATATTCGTCAAAATTGATTCGAACCTTCGCGTTGGGTAGAAACGCGATCGTGGCCTTATAATTTTTGCCTTCCAACTGTGGCCTATGGCCATTGACTGTGATAATCTTCGACTGGGAGCGGTTGTACGTGTGTTATTATAGTCAAAATATTTATCAGAATAGTGAAAAATTATCCCGAAAAGTAAACTTTTCACAACTGGTTTGAGCTGTGAGTACCTGACAGCGATGAAATCAGAAATAAAAAATAAAAATTATTTCGATATCTGAATTTATTCGTCGATTACAAATTAATACTATAGATATTAATATTCGTAGACAAGTTGTTCTCAAATTTAACACTAAGCGAAAAATAATGATCATTCTAAAAACCATTAGATGTTTAATAGCCGTTTAAAAACATTCAATATTGATGCATACAAAAACTAGACATGTATAATATAAAACAACATCAGTATTTTGAAATTTGGCCTCGAGTTGGCTTTTTTGACATTGAAGATTTTTTTTTTAATAATTGAGCCCAGCATAACTAAGTTTTCTTTGTAGCATTCATAAGATGTCATTGTAAATAAATAGAATTAGTAATAAAACTACATTCATCGACAAGAAAACTAAGTTAAAAGAAAACATTTTTCGTATAACTCGACCAACCAATAAAACAATAAGTTGTTAATGATATGATACAAAAGTATGAATGTTTTCCATTAAAACACAGACAATCCATGTAAATAAACTTGGTTAACTTATAATATTAATATACATCTTCTATCTGAAACTCTCTTTTACACAGCTTCTCACCGCCACCTGCAATGATGATTACTTACCATCCCATCAGGAAAACTGTCAGCGTGTAAGCCAGCACTCTTTCCGGGACACTGGCTTTAGAGTTTGAACTTCTGCTGGCCAGCTGTGCCCACAACAGCCAGAATATACCAGCGCCCCCCGATGCGCCACCCACTATCATATACACTGGTATGCGTGGCTCGGCTGGGCAGTCCCGAATGTACTGTACTCCTGTTACAATAACAGTGATTCTAGGAAATTATTTTTAAAAAATGGTGGAATATAATAAAAGGCGTTAAATTCAAATTATGTTTAAAAGAAATGGTAAAAAATAAATAATTCAATATTCACTAACTTAAACAATAATAGAAACTTACCCATAATCAGCATTATTACCGGCAACGTTGATAGACATGCCAGAAATACTGTCATCAGAACTAAAACAAAAAGTAATTTTTAGAAATTCAAATCAAAGCAATTTTACGGCGTTTGAATTATACACTCACTGGTCCTGTTCATAATTTTGGCAGCTCTGCAAACAAAGTCCACGGTGCTCGAGGCCTCCATATTTGCATCTTTCAATTGGTAGGCAACAGATCCGTAGGTGGTCAAGCCCACTCCCAGTCCCAAGCCACTGCGCTCGCCATACTTTGCTTGCTCTCCACAAAGCCTCCTTTGTTCGTCGCCGGATACCTAAATATTATGATCACTACATATCTCTAATTCTTTCACACGAACAAGTGGACAGCCACAAGCAAGTGTTTCTTATGTCACTTTAGGCCGTAGAAGTAAGACCAATCATTTACCTGACTCACAGAACTAGAAGCCCTCCGGGAGCCGCCATCAGATAGAGCTCCCGTAGTGGTACAGTGCCGGCCACTTAAAGAAGCTCTGTAAGGAGAAATACTCCGTCCTCTTGTAGCTGCAAGTACATTTATATGTTAATTCTCGTCACTTAATTTCCATCGGAGCATAATGAATATCCTGTAGTTTGTAATTATATATATAATTTGAATAAATGTTATAAGTACAAATCAAACTCTGCATTTATCAGAATCTGCATTACCACTAGAAATAGCAATAGCAAAAATTATAAGTCTTTTAACAAAAGCTTTTGAGTATATGGTTGCATTCTGTAATAAATGTAAAGAATACAAAACTTTTTTGTTTTTCTTAGAACGAAATTCCTTGGCGTGGCTTGGGATAGGTGTGAGTTCAAATCATCCCGTTACGAAAAAGCATTAAGCGTTCTCAGTTCGAGTATCTTTCCAACGAATTACATTCGGAATTCAGAACTTCGTTCCTGAAGGGGACACTTTTTTAAGAAAGTCTATATAGAAGAAGATCGTTTAGGTGAAAAAAATATTACCAGCATTTTGACTTTCTTCGCTTGCCCTCCTTTCCCTAGACACGAGTGGTTCTTGGAAAGTTAACGTCAGACTGCCCCTGGGGCTCACCTTCATAGTGTCCAATTCTCCAGCCACTAAGCTACCTCTGGCACTTCTTTCTGAAGGAGCAATACTCCCCCGTGGGCTTCTCTGCGATTCAGGTATCAAAGAGCCTCGAGGGGTTCTGATAAAATCGGGGCAATCGTTCCCTTTCAATGCAGTATCAGGTACGATACTCCCTCTAGGACTTGTCCTAGGACTTGGGCCTAGTTCTTTCTGATTGCGTGCCGGATCTATTTGTATGCAAGCGACTGAATGTCTAGGACTTCTGCCCACGTCCGGAATAAGGGAATTCCTTGGTTGATTCCATGATGTCCCATCAGGTACTAAACTTCGCCGCGGGCTTCTTGCAGTGACATCGGGTGTTATACTATTCCTTGGGCTCCTGTTAAAATCCTGAGGATTAAGACTTAGCCTCGAACCGTAAGCTGATTCAACTCCTAGGTTATGTCTGGAAGGCGCTAGGCTATTCCTGATTTGTGAAGCTGTATCGGGGACTATGGAATTGCGAGCAGATCTGGTTTCAGGGACTAGCGAGTGTCTTGGACTTCGATGGTATGTATCTAAAGCCGCATCGGGTGCCAAGCTAGCCCTTGGACTTCTTTGGGGAACAGGATCAGTTTCATCATCCGTTTCGGTAGTCGCTAACGAAGCTCTCCTTGAAGGCTGTGCCGATGGTCTGGGTGACCTTGTTTGAGGAGACGTGGCAGCACTCCTAGAAGCCCTACGTCGTCTCGAAGACGATGTTCTATGCAACATGATGTAGTGTTAAATATCTCGCATTCTTAAATGTATACTGTATTTCTTCTGAATGCTAGTTAATGTATGTTCTCCAGGGATCTGTAAACAAATGAAAATTAATGAAAAATAACCGCACATTATTAAAAAAAATAAGCATAGAAATGTTATTAATTGTATTTATTTTGGTTTTTATATTATAAAAGTATTATCATTTAATATAAATATATCATAATCTATGTGTACTTATGATTAAAATATTGTAATTGTTTGTTTCCGTAGCAACTGTTTATTCATGAAATAGTTTTTCGAAAGTAAGTAAATAAATATTTATAACAGAGCTGTTTGTTGTAGCAATCTCGTAATTATTTCAAGCAACTACTTGGGATATTTATTCAGTTCTCATATCTTCTTGAAGAGATATATTATCAAATATATTATCTTCTACGTGAAGAAATAACTTTGTACCCCTCATACGAAGGAGTAATGAATTTTAATAATAAATACATTTAAAAATAAAAAAATAATTACACTCATCACCGTGTAATTAATTATGATCGAATTTCGACCACTAGGCGACCACTAGTTTAATGAGTTTGTCTTCGGTACATGTTGTGATAATTCGGTATTTATTTTTTTCAGAAACGTTTTCGTTCTAGCTGTCTAAGCTAAGCGCCCGATAACCTTACGGCAACACAATATCAACATCTATCTAGCAATTGTTAGCATTTAGATCATATCGGATTGGGGCCGACTAAACTAAGTCCAATTCAACCCTAAGAAGACACAAGTTTGGCGCGGTTACCGAAAAGAAGAAACCCTTCGTCGTGTTTACTGTTTTAAGGGCACTCCCCTTGTTGCTACCGACTCGAAAGGAATTCTTGGACATTGAACATCGAGGTCACTTGGAAGAGAAAGCCAAACTGGTTTTTAAAAAGCTTTGTATCCTGAGCAGAGCGAGCGAGGAGTAGTTCTTGCGGTCCCATCGCCTGTAGCTTTAAAAAGCGCAACTGTGCCGCACATGAATTACTGCTCTCATCTGTGTGCTGCGGTGCCTCAATACTGGCTCTTTCCGTTTGACGGCATCCATCGTAGGGCTGCTCGAATAGTCGGTGAGCAAGTCCTTTCCAATCGTCTCGACTCTTTGGCCTCGCTAAGAGATATTTCGTCTCTTTGCGTTTTTAATCGAGTCCATCACGGGGAGATTACGCTTTATTTAGAAAATAATAAAAGTGTCGTCGTTCTTCGTTATTGCTTTTTTTTTTTTTTTTTCAATTAAATTCCACCTCTAAGAGTAATATAATTTTTTGACTTCACTCGTGCAATCCATTCCAGAGATGAACCGTTTGTTTCCATCAATCCAACAAAAACGGAGCTTGTTATAATGTTATTAGATGTTGGGAGGGGTGAAATGAGAAAATTTCATTTGAAATAATCCCGCTCCCGTCGCAAATTGTGTTGCTCGAGAAGATGTGATATTTTTTTATACGATGATTACTTCGCGCGAATATGGTGTATTGAAAATAATTTACATCGATGATGCCCTGACTGATGAAGTGTAGGTGAAGAGTTGTCTTTTTTCGCTTTACGTGTTGAGAGTTTTAATCTATCCCAAATCATTAATAACAGATGATTTGTTTGTTTGAAGTATTAGATATGTACATAAAATTTTTAGAAAATCAGTATTTACGAAGTTTTGTCACAGAAACTTGTGATCCAATGCTGAGTGAACATCATTTTGATACATTTATAAATTTTGTATGTCTGTGTATTTCACTATTTCTCATTTACGAAATTTGCATATTTAACTACGTATCACTTGGTCAAGAGCAGATGTAAAACAAAATTTTAAGGTAAAGTACACGTATGGAATACCTTATCAGCAAAATTAGGGCCTAGTTTAATTATTTTTTAGTTTCTTTTATATGTATTTCTTTAGTTTGGTGTTTTTATTAGTTTTCTCGATTATTTAATTTGTGTTTTTGTTAATGTTTAACATCAGTATTCATACTTATATAAGTTTCATAACTTTATACAATATCTACTTTTAATTGGACTAATATTTATATATAACGTATATGATAGATATACTGTACTAAATACTGTACATATAGTATCACTCCGTGAACAAATGCTGCCGGTAAATTTTCATAAGTAAATATTATAACAGTTGTTCTAGTTGAACATATACATATACTAGAAACGGTAAAACCGCATCAGAAACTATTAGCATTTAATATGTAAAGAAGAAAATAAATGATAAATCTCATTGCATACAATATAAAGAATCAAATTTACTAAAATTCTCCAAGCGGTGTCCTCGTAACAGTTCTTGCCTAGTTTATCAATCAAGTACAGTTGCCAAAACAGTGACATAAAAACACCGGCAGCCCATCCAATAAACACGTTCGCTCCCTTCAAGGTCGCGCGGTCACGCGAGCAATCACGTCCGCGGCGTGCCGTGCTGCCGAAACAGGCCACGCGTTTCCAACCCCGACGTGATATCCGTTGAAGCGTGACGCTTAGCTGTTACGGTTTTACGTCCCATCACTTTATTGGCTATCGATCTTTATTCAGTATCGTGAAACGGCTTATCTATTGAAATTGTAAAATGATTAATGTGTATCATCATCATTAGCGTTATTTCAGCTTGCTTCAGTCTATTTCTAAGCATAGGTCTCCCCTTATATAGAATAGTAGTACAGTATAATCAGGCCGCGCGTTTCCAACCGTTCCCCCGGCGAGAACCGTTAAAGCATGACGCTTAGTTGTTACGATTTCATGTCCCATCACTTTATTGGCTATCGATGTTTATTCGGTATCGTGAGAAGTCTAACCTATTAAAATTGTAGAAAGATTAATTTTTATCATCATCATCAGCGTTCTTTCAGCCGGTTTTTGTGTAATGTTGAGTGTTTCCTTGTCTCTCCTAGAATAGTAGTGTAGTATAGTATCAGCCTAAACATGTTCCGGTGCTAGGCAAAGGCCTACTCTGTACAGAGGGGTATTACGGCATTGACCACGTGACCCCACAGTGGATTGGCAGTCTTCATATTATTTATTGATTTAAGCTTCATTGTTAAACCTTAAACTAAAGGCTACAATGGGCGGACTTAATGCCTAATGGCATTCTCTACCAGTCAACCCTTGTCATGGTGAAAAGTAGATGGTAGGTGCTAAATGAAACTATAAAAATTTAAGTTAATAAATGTGCCATAAAATGTAACATATACATATGTATATAAATAAATATATAGATACATACATATAAATATAAACATAAATACATAAATAAATACATATACGGATAATAAAAACACAATTGGACTAAGTGACACAAAGTCAATGATTTAACAAGTATTCTCTTGATTTTTTGAACATATACTTATTTGGAGCTGTTTTGATCTTATAGGGAAGGGCGTTCCAGAGGAGTGTAGCTTGAACGGTAAAAGAGGAGTTAAAGTATCCTGTATTATGTTGAGGAATGTGAATCTTAAGTTGGTTGATGGAACGAGATACTCTGTCAGGGTCAGAGTGAAGGTAATGGAAGGTATCCTTAAGGTAAGAAGGAGAATTAGGATTAAATAATACAGAATACAATGTTAATAGAATTCTAGAGCTGCGCCTATGTTAATGGAAAGCCAGTTAAGCTTGCGACGGTAGGAAGACACATATTTGCGTAAACCGAAAATAAATCTAATGCAGCTATTAAGAAGACGCTCCAATTTTTCGAGACGAGATTGGGATAGGTCCGGATAACACACATCAGCATAGTCGATAATGGGCAAAATTAGTGATTGAACAAGCAGAAGCTTAGTTTTAAAGGGTAGGAAATTTCCGGCTGACTTCGGCAATCTGCGTTTCCCAACTAAATGACTGGTCCAAATGCAAGCCAAGATTTTTGACCGAGTCAGAAAACGGAATTAACGATCCATTATAAGAAATTGGGAGAAGGCTGCCATAATCAATCCTGGCAAGCATCCTTGGACCACCAATTATAATTGCTTTGCATTTAGATGCGTTAACAGTAATCCCAAACTTATGTGACCAATCTTTAATAGATTCAAGATTGTCGTTAACAGTCATTAAACAGCTTTTAAGATTTTTAATATCTGTTTGGACATAAAGCTGTAGATCGTCAGCATACAGATGGTACGAACAATTGAGTACTGAGGTGATAGAGTTAATAAATAACGAAAACATAATTGGAGAAAGTATATCGCCTTGCGGCACCCCAGTATCAACATCCGCCCATGCAGAACACTGCTTTCCTAAGCGGACTGACTGTTGGCGACCGCGAAGATAAGAGCAAAACCAATCCAAAGCTGGGGTCAAAAATCTAAGGTAAGTAAGATAGGATCTAAGGATGACGTGATCAACTGTGTTAAAAGCGTTAGAAAAGTCCACAAGCACCACCACTGTGACCTTTTGATCATCCATACCTTTTCTTATGTCATCAGTGACCTTGATAAGTGCAGTGGTAGTACTGTGGTCCGGACAAAACCCAGATTGATAAGCATTCAATAGGTTATGTTTGTTAATAAATACGGAGATTTGCTTATGAACACAGGCCTCAAGAACTTTAAAAAGAAATGGAAGAATAGAAATCGGACGAAAATGGTTAGGTAAAGAGGGATTTGGGATTTTGGGAAGTGGCAGGACAAAAGCCCTTTTCCACTGGGTTGGGTAATGACCAGAGTCCAAGGAAAAATTGATTAGGTGTGTAATTGCAGGTAAAAGGTACTCCAGTATCATTGTTATCATTTGCTTACTAACCTCGTCACTTCCCACAGCTTTGGATTTGATTGCTAATATAGTCTTTTTAACTTCATTGAGATTTACCGGTGTGAACTGAAAGTCTGGAATTTGAAGAGGTGGCAATTGACCAATAGAAGTGCTTGTTTGAGAGCGTATTGTGGGGTCTATAGATGGTGTAGAGATAAAATGTTGGTTTATGTCATTCAAGGTTAATGAAGAGGCATCGTCTGATGGACTAGGTTTGGTAATCCCAAGAGACTTGAGAAATTTCCACACATCAGCGTTAGACGCATTACTAATATTTTCATGGATATAATGGCGTTTAGCGTTTCGTACCATCTGATTGCATCTGTTTCTAAGCAGTTTGAAATGAACCCAATTCTCTTCTGTACGTTCCCGTTTAAATTTTCCAAAAGCTCGATCCCGTCTCGCCATTGCCGCTCTAACACCTCTAGTCATCCACGGGGCAGGAGGACGCTTTACTCTTACAAGAGATGCAGGTGCATGTACATTAAACAAAGTTAGTACAATATTGTTTAGTTCCCACACTTTATCATCAATAGTAGGCTCCTGAGTTTGTCCAATTGAATTCTTGAAAAATTACGCAATTTTAAGAAAGTGGGAATAGGTTTAGGAGGGATAAGTTTGTAGGAAAAGTAAATTAAATCATGTAAGGAAAAGCTAGGAGCAGAAAGCTGACCGTGCTTTATAACTCGGTCAGGGGAAGCTGTAATAATGAGGTCAATCCACGAGTCATCAGTGTGAACATTGTGATGAGTAGCCGCTAAAGGCAGAATGTGGAGGTCGACTGACTCAATAATTGTGCGAAGTTTTTGAGAACGAGACGTATTTCTTAACAAATCAGTGTTAAAATCACCCATTATCATGCAGTGCGTGTACCCGGAGCTAACCAAATCAAGAGCAGCTTCAAGACCGCTGAAATAATCAACAGTAGGAGGACAGTACACTACCCCAGAATCGCCCTAATACCTGAAACGCAAATTTCAAGAAATAAAAATTCGGCGGAAGCTGAACAGGCAGATGGAGATGCTAGGACAATCTTATAAGAGATATTAGCCCTCAAGTATATAGCAACCCCACCTCCCCCCTTCTCAGTCCGGACATTCCGAATAAGTACAAAGTCTGAAAGAGGATATAAACTGGACATCAAGGAAGGTTTAAGCCAGCTCTCGGATACTAGAATCGCATGGATGTTGCTAGAAGAAAATGTATCTTCAAAGTCTGAAAAATGGCTAGGTATACTTTGCGCATTGATATGGCATATGTTAAACAATTTACTACAAGACGCGAAAGTACACGTAAGCCTGTCACGTAAAGACAGCAAGCTTTCATTTAAAAGATCACAAGAAGCAAACGAGGAATCTAAATCATCAGCAGAATAAAAAGAATCATTATCCGACATAACTTAAAAAATATGAATAAATAATGATATTTTAAATAAATAAGAGTTAATAAAATATACTATATATAAATATAATCAAGAATAAATTAAAAAATTAAAACCAGAGAACACTCTGTTATAATCTATGTGAAGCAGAGTAAAAACAATAACAAATATTATTTTACCTACTATGCACCATCCCAACAGTTGACAGTTTACAAGAGCTATGCGAATAACAATCTTAATAATAAAAACACATGAGAGAAAGAAATGCATAAGTATACTAATAAGTTAAGTCAAAATCAACCGTTAAATTAGAAAATTATACATATTACAAATCAAACAGAATATGCTAAAAACAGATAATAAGACCGTATGGGTTAGGACCGTTGCCTACCGATAAAAGAAATAAAGAAAAATACAACAATAGTTGTTTGTTTTGTCATTGTCAGTTAATAGATATAAACAAAATGAAAGATTAACAAAGTGAAAATATTACAATGAGATATTTAGACAAATATACTTGAATGCTTATTATGAGTGATAGTGCTAAAAGACAATATATAATGTTTTCAATTAAGTTGTTAACAGTGACTAAAAACAGATAACCTAAAAAAAATGCACATTGTTGTAAAAGTCAATATTAGAGAAGATGTTAACTATATATTATATTGGGAAGCAATATATACAAATGTGAAGAAATTATACCAAGAAAAGAGAAACTTCACAGCTGCCACAGATTACTTTTTGGAGATAATACGACGAGTTTTCTTGTTATCACCATAAGTCAAGGCGGATGCTTCTTTTTTCCGCCTCTCCACTTCTTGCTGGCGACTGGCTTTAGGTGAGCTCCTGGTGGAAGGCACATCATTAGTTGCGCCGCAAACCCCCTGCTATGAACCACTAGCAGCGGCACTAGCTGGTAAGCACACAGGAGTCCATGCAGTAACAAGAGCACTAAAGTCTTCTTCTGTGGAAATCTTCTTACGACTACCATCAGGGAGCTTAATATAAATTCTTCCATCCAGAGTCCAAACATTTCTCATTCCAAAATGCTTACGAGCCATCTTATGAATGCTCTGACGCATTCTAGTAAGAAACTCAGACATAGTAAAGGGTGTATTCTTTAACTTTGACTTGGACTTCCAAACTTGTCTTTTGACACTGTAATCGCAGAAGTGAACTAAAACAGCTCTGCACCGGTCTCCATCAAGAGGTCCCAACCTATGACATCGCTTTATTGATGATCTACTCATGTTGGTAAGGCCAAGTTTATTGTGAAAGATGTCCAAGACTTGCTGCTGAACATTTGAATTGGGATCCTCGGATATTCCATTAAGCAACAAAATTGCCGATGCCTTGTTTCCATTTCATCAAGTGCATAAGAGCAACTGCTTACTTGCTGCTGCAGAAGACCAAGCATGTTAGTTACCAACTCTTTAAATGCACAAAAATCCTGATTGAGCTGTTGTAGAGTTGGATTGTTGCTTGTTGATGCAGGGACTAAAGCATCTTTTAGACGATTCTCAAACTCAGTCATCTTAGCCCTCCAGCTAATTTCAAGCTCCTTATGCAGTTGATCAACATTGCTGAGATTAGCCATGTTAACTAGTAAAATGTGTTATGCCAATAAAGTGAACTTAGATTAGTAGTGACAGTGATGCTGTAGGGTGATGCAAGTAAGGTTTAATTCTTCTTAAATAAGTAGATTTATAATATTAAAGTATAATAGCACTAATAAACAGGCTGATAATAGTAAAATTGTTTATAAATATTACTTTAAACTATTCATAATTGAATTAAATAGTTAAGAGCTTTTGAAACAGCTGTTACTTATTTCACACCTCTATTATATCTTCGAATTACTATTTTTGTTATTATTTCGAAAATGAACTGGATTTCTCACGATGTAGTGAGCCAGCACTTATTGAAAACCACAAATTTCTCCAACAATTGCATAAGTTCAATAAATCTCACCGTCAGTAACTGTATTAATACTTTTTTGTTGCTGATAGCAGGATTTGAACAGAGATTGCGAAAATGAAACTAGAAACGGGCAGCCGAAGATGACCGGGAGACACTACGCTATTGTAATTTGGGCTTCAATTAGAAATTAACATACAATTAAAATATGTAGAAAAAGTACGAAAAGATTGTACTTTTCCTACATATTTTAATGTTCCATCTTAGGTGCAGAGATTAGCACTATAAAAAATTAAAATTAACATACAAGCTTGGATTCATTCACGAGGGGGGGTTTTGCCACAGTTGCCACGCCTGGCAAGTGGGTTGGCAGCCAGAACTAGATGGAGTGACGACCTATATAAATTTACGAAAGTCGATGGATGCAGGTGGCTCAGGATCGAGCTTCGTGGCAGTCTGTGGCCGAGGCAGTTCAGCAGCGGACTCAAATAGCCTGAAATGATGATGATGATACAAGCTTATCAGCTTTTTTTTATTTAATGTGCCATATATTCAATTACAATGTTTAAGACATGTCAATATACAAACATCTCTCCCTTTAACAGTGTTTTTAGTAAGATGGTATTCACTATAAATATATTTTTTCATAAAAACATGTATAAAACATCGTTCTCGAAAAGTTAAAAGAATATCAGTCGGTATGTAAATTTCGTTTCTAGATACAAGCTCTTGAAGCGGCGATTATGTTGTGTAAAAATGTTCCCGGGATTTATGTCTGACCGTCATACAAGTCGTATAAAAATTAAAATTCAGTGAACTCGACATGAAGAGTTTTATTTTAATAAGGGCCTTGTCGAACGTATATGCACCAACATATTCGAGTATGTTTCCAACCGATTCGTTTATTTTATTACTGCACACGAAGTGGGTCAGAGCCGTAATGTGTATATAGAAATAAAAGAAATAAAAGCGCTTACGGCCAAGTGGAAAATTTAAATCAGCCTGCACCTTCTTCGGACGTTGTTAAATGAAATTAACATGCATTTCGACGTTTTGAATTCTATTCGCTTGTATAAAATAGGTAATTGCTTTGACTACAATATGGAATAAATTTTGTAGTCTATAAATTGGATTACTTTATAATCAAACATTTCCAGCAACAGACGAAATATAATGACATCAATTAAAGAAAAAAACCGACTTCAAACAGGAAACTAAAATCATTGTTAACATACATTTGAGGATTGCCCTCGATTTTTCTGGGATACCACCATCAGACCCGGGTTTGTCCTTAAAATGGAACCACCCTTGGGATATCTCCTCTCCAACAAAAAAAAGAATCATCAAAATCGGTTCATGAACGACGAAGTTATCCGCGAACACACATCAAATACATATATATATATATATATATATATATATATATATATATATATATATATATATATATATATATATATAAAGTATCGTTTGTAAATATATATTGAACTATTACAATGGTGAAAGTGTAATACTATAGTGTTATATTATATAAATAGTGTAGTTAACGTGTTCACTATTGTAACGTGTTGGTTAATGATGATCGTTATCATCATTCCAGCCTGTTCGTATCCCACTGCTGAATATCGGCTTGCCCACACTGCCAAAAATCACGATCCTGAGCCACCTGCATCCTTCTACTTACCGCGGACACACCACAAACATCTGGTTGCCTCCATAACTTGGATATGTCAACCACATCTTGGATGTGCTCAATACATTCAATAATATATTAAACTGTACGTAAATCGGATTGTTCTACCAACTCGAACTTGCAAAATAAGATTTTGTAAGCCTAACCTACAAACTTCGTCGTCGAAGTAATATTAATAACTATTCCTCTAACAGAACTTGACTACATTAAGACCCATTCATTGAAGGAGTTTTGTAATCCCCTTTGATAAGTTTATTCATTATACATTATAGAATTGTAAATCTTATACGTAGAATGAGATACAATGTAGAAGAAAACGTTAGTGCTTTATATTTGCAATTGAGATAGTGGGCCAGATCCGTAGATCTTTGCAATACTGTCATCGATTTGTGCCCATCATTGTACTCGTCATAAAATTGTTTCAAAAACATAGCGATAAAAATTTACTTATAATTTGAGAAGAAATTCTACACGTTTCATATGTCTATTAAATTTAACTACGAAGGCGTATTTTCTTAATAACAAACGGCACTTTTAAGGTAAAACATAAAAATTTTTAGAAAAAAGTAGGAAAAGTTTTTCACTGCTGTGGGGCTCGAACCCACGTGTTCGGGATTCGCGTCTTGACGTATTTACCACAAAGCTAAACGGCCGAATGCGACACCGAAGAATATCTCAACGTATTTTATCTAAATTATTAATTATTACTTTTAATTTAGTGAAAATTATCCGATAAATTGCCAATATTTTTTTCGTCCGCTGCCAAGAATACTCGTCCGCTCTAACCATTGAGCCAAGTGGTAGATATCCTTACCGCGTGAAAAATTTTGTCCATAATAAATTCTGTTTATAGTGGACAGTGGTCTTGTAACGTTTTTATAGTGGGTGTCTAGATAATGATGGGAAGATTTAATAAAAGATTTATTAGCGGTTAAGAATTTGTATTTATCCCTTCAATTTAAAGTTACAATCCCTGGACTAGCTCAGATACAATATATTTTGTAATATAATAATAATAATAAGTTGGGCGCCTTGTCTGTTAGGAACAGACTGTTGTAATAATCACAATTAAGTATCTCAGGGAGTCGTGAGTACATAAGACCTACACATTACTTTGTGCGACCATAAAAGGTTAAATAATTAAATTAATTTGAGATGGTAAAACTTATGCAATTCATTTAAGAAAAACAACAAAACCCAATCAGGTAGTTATTTAAAATCTATGTCACCGCAGAGACACCTGCCCTGTGTGCACAGGTCAGCGTTGAGCTCAGAACCAGTAGATAAAGTCAGGCCAAGTGTAGTGTGTACAGCCACACTGTTGGGGGGTATGTAGGAGACCTCCTGCCAACAAACACTACATTGTAGAACTAACAAAGGCAGGGATTTGAATCCACCTACAATTATAAGATGTGAAACACTTACCAACTGGAGGTAAAAAACAATATTTAATAGAGCAGCAGCTCAGACCAGCTTGCCAGCCACCTATGCCTTCAGCATCCACCTGTGATATTCGAAAAACCATACTTAGAAACACGAGACAATAAATTCTCAACCTACCTTCATGTGAGATTTCTAAATACATTCACAATGCAAGTCTTTAACAATTTTAGTAGGAAACCAGTGAAAATAACAGAGGATCTTACCACGAGGGATAACAAATCCAGCACAGAGTTTCCCAGACAGCAATCACAAATAATACGACCAGGAATGTGTTCTGATTCAACCTCTAGCCATGCACTGTAAAAAAGCGAATTGATAAGAAAACGAAATACGTAAACAAAACAACCACTGGCATGACCGAAACCAAGCAATTACTTACCAGTCGAAGATAATAGATCCACAAAAACTAATTTATCCAATGTCAATTCGAACCGGCGGCAATCTCAAATGACAAGTACCAACAAATGAACTTAACTTTTTGATTTGACCTTTCGAAAAGGCAAAGGTTCATATGACATGCAGCCTAGTCTTTAGAAAAACAACAATTTCGACAAAGTGATGAAATCACACGTTACAGTCTGTAAAACAAAGTACTGACTCCACCCAACGGTGGCTTATTAAACAATTTACTATACGTTGCTTAAATAAATGTATGATTAATGCTTTATGTACGCTAGCGTAAGTTTCCATTAATGAAGGGGTAAAGTAAAGTAAAGTAACAGCCTATATATGTCCCACTGCTGGGCAATTTTTTCGAAAATATGCAGGTTTCCTCACGATGTTATCCTTCTCCGCGGAGCACGTGATAAGTCAGCACTTAAAGTTAAAAACTTCATTGGGCCCGGCACCGGGGATCGAACTCAGGTGCTCGAGTATATTGAATTAAAGGCGAACGCCCGGACACTGAGCTATCACGAAGGGGTAAAGTCGCACTTAATTTATTTTTTCAAAGGCTTTTGGGGTAAACTGTGCAAGTATATTGACTATTTAACCTACCGATAAACGCGTTAAAAAATGAAAAACGCACATAAATTAAGGTCATAGTGGTATAGCTACCGTCAAAAACTTCATCACAGCCGGCCGCGAACTTGAAACGTGTCACGCTATTCCATACACGAGAACACAGCTGCAAACACGATCCTAATTGAATAGTCAAACCCTGCATTGTGACCCGAATACCAATTTTACTTTGTCCAACTCCATACGAAATTCCCTAGCTCAATGTCACTTAAGATTCAGACAATGAAAGTTGGCCTTTACTCGGCCGTCGAAAGAATTTGCTTGCCTTAACATTTCATTTATCGAAAAAGGAAGATTTAACTTACTTTGAACGGAAACGAAGAATGCTGCTATAATCCGAAGGATATATTTATTTTTAGGGTTCCATACATCAATAATAAAACGAAACCCTATTACAAAGACTCCGCTGTCTTTCTATTTGTCTGTCAACTGGTAGCTCATGAACCGTGATAGTTATACAGTAGAAACTTTCACAGATGATGTATATGTTGCCGTTATGACAACATATGCTAAAAGACAATAAA